TGGGGAATTCTGGAAGTTGAAGTCCACTCATCTTAAAGTGGCCAAGTTTGGACAACACTGCGCTACACTCCTGGCTTCTGTATGAAACAAGAGATGGCTGCTGGTTTCATGGCTACGTAGACACATATTTTATAAAGCTGATACAGAGCCCGTGGTATAAAACTCAGGATCTTTGGGAAAAATTGTTTTGGTGAAGTCTACTTGGCTGGATGGATATTTGAACATAGGTCATCTAAATCTGCTCAGCTGAGTGACAGTATGTAGCAGAGCTTAGATGATCTTAGAAAGCTAAGCAGGACAGGCCCTGGTTAGTACTTGGATAGAAGACCACAAGGAAATTCCAGAATAGTAAGATCACATATTACTTTACCACTATGATGCTTAATCTTCCCAAAAATATTAAACATGGGCCCTAGTCTCCCACAGTAGTCTACCTTTACATTAGTGACTACTAAGCTAATCCATTAATCTCACTAATTTTCCTTCAAAATTTGCCTCTGTACCTTGGGGGCTTAAGTCTCAGCAACAAGCATTCTGTAAGCTTGCATGGTCAGTCAAATTACAAGATTAGCAGGGGATGAGAGAATCTGAAAGATGCCAAGATGGGGGCCCCAGATAAGAAGCATACTGAAGAAGTTTGTGGAGGTGGAAAAAATATGGGTCATGTACAGAACAGTGCAATCGTGTTTCTTGGAGGCCTGAAGCTGGGAGGGAAAACATCTGAAATGATGCCCTTTTTCCCCCTTTCTTTCTCTTTTATTCAAATGTTGCCCACACTGTCACCGGCTAGGGATTTTCAGGTCATGTTGACTCTCCTCACAGCCTGCTCTTTGCAGACATGAGCGAGGCTTTACCCAACGTTTCCAAGTGCCCAGTCATTACCATCTTTAATCTCTCCACACACATGAACAAGTATCTTCTGTAAAAGTTGCTGGAGCTAAACTGACAATATTCCATTTATTCCTTGCTATGGCTTCTTCTTCCAACTTTTCTCAGAGAAGACGGGAGCTCTTTATCCTAAGCTTAAAGGGATGTATACTTCAGATTTCCTGCAGTGGTCATGATGTGGATCACTTAAAACTTCATTTGGCCTGCTTACCAACCATCATGTAAGAGTTGTGAATCCATTTTCCACAGCTCCCCTTTAGAACTAATAAGAAGGGAGTCAAATGGATTGCATACTTACCTACATATGGATCATCTACATATTCCTACCAAACTGTTATAAGAATACAGGTAGTCCTCACTTACTGACTGCTTGTTCAGTGATCATTCGAAGTTACAGTGGCACGGAAAAAGGAAATTTACAACTGGTCCTCCAAGTTGCGACCGTCACAGCATCCCTGTGGTCACAAGATCGCGATTCAGGTGCTCGGCAACCGCCATACATTTATGACAGTCTCAGTGTCCCACAGTCACATGAACACCATTTGTGACCTTCACAGCCAATTTCTAGCAAGTAAATTCAATGGGGAAGCCAGCAGGAAATTGCAAATTGCAGTCACGTGACATCACTTAACGACCTGCGGTGATTTGCTAACAACTGTGGCCAGAACTGCCATCGTAAGTCGGGCACAGTCATGTGATATTTCACTTTATGACCACATTGCTTAGTGATGGATTTGCCAGTCCCAATTGCGGTCAGTAAGTGAAGACAATCCCATCAGTCCCCAGCTTCTATTGTTAAGCAAGGACCATGCAAGTCATTAAGCAAGGACCTCACATGATCATGACTTCCGACTTCTGCCGGCTTCCCCATTGTCTTTGCTTGTGGAAACCCAGCAGGGAAATCATGATCATGTCACTGCAGGATGCTGTGATGGTCAGAAATATGGGCCGGTTGCTAAGCGCCCTGATTGCAATATTGTGACTGC